CCCCCCCATATTAAATGAACTCTCCCTTACGCAAAATAAAGTAAATAAAACGTAAATCGTTTTTGCTTTTCTTTCTCGTTTCTGCCGGAAATCTCGTCTGACGTTAGTAAAAGAAATACTCAGACCGTGTCAGGATGTGATGCAAACGCAATATGGTATTTTGAATCTGCATTTGAAAAATAAAAAAATCTGTCTGGGGTGTCTGTCGCCTTACAAGAGTGAGACACTCGTGACTCACGTTCCACATGAATTTGAGTATTGACAGCTAACGCCATCACAAATGACAGTAAAATTTATTTATTTTAAAGCTCTTTATTCCCCTAAATTAAACTTGTCAAATGATCCTGGACAAATTCTTCTTTTCAGCATTTATATTGCAAGTTACGTCATCTTTGTTGCTATTTTATTTAACAAAATGGCAAAATGTTCATAAATGCAGTAGCACATTCTTGTTGAGGTGTTCTTAATGGTCAGTTTTTCAGATGGCTGAGATTTCCTACCCTTTCGTGACGTCATATTTCCCGCCAAAAAGTAGAGTGGAAAAAAATCTTCATTGAAGCGCGCTTCATGCTCACAATCAGTAAACCTTGCCCCTTGCTAAGCTTCAATAGTCTTTGCGATAAAAGTTAACATAGACCTGTCTTTCTCAGCATAGTGGTAATACCTTACTGATAAGAGATATTTTCGTCACGATTGGCGCCTTTTTGCATGAGAAATCGCATCGCAAACCGAGCTGTTCATTTGTTTATATAGAAATGTGCACAAGAAGGCAAAACAAATCCAGGGTATTTGTATTATGCCTTTCGCTGCAGGGGGTATTAGACCACTAGAGAGTTTTAGATTGACCTTTTCTTCCTCCCCGCAAACGGCAAACGTGAGCACGTTTTCATCGTTTTCCTTTATTTTACTTTACCTTTTACAAACCTTCTCACTAAGCGCAAATACTCTTTTGTTTTTCTACTACTTGGACATTTTTGCGATTCTTTTTCAGTAATTTAAAATAATTTTTTACTGGTCAACTAACGTTTCACGTTTGCCGTGAACGTAAATCTAAAACTCCCTACTGATTCTAGAAAAACGTGGGACGCAAACGGACGTAAACATCATGTATATACATATACACATACATACAGATATCAACTTAATCTATTCTCAAATTTATACAGGTTTATGAAGCATACGAATACATCGCTAGAACTGAGTTAGCACTGAGAAAAGAGGGGGGGTATCATTTAAAAACTCACAAATAATTAAAATTTAAGCTGTTTAATTTATGCAACTTCTCGGACGTAATGCTTTAGCGTCGTGTAGTTTATCCCGCTGAGCTGAAGCAAAGATAAAATAATAATTACCTTGCTTCATGATCAGAGTAAACAAAGTCAATGTACTAACAAACGGAAGCCATGCGGTAGAGCTATACGGTAGAGCTATGCAGTAGATAAATATGAAGATGAAGTGCGCCTAGCTGATCAGCGGTGCCTTCATGGAACTAATGAGCTTGAGTCATTATCTTTGATTTTGAAGCCATTTTGTCTTGTCTTGTCGTTGGTCATTTTGCCATTAGTTTTTGTTGCTTCTGTTTCTTTTACTTTCGTTTTCTGATTCTTCTTGTAATTGTAGTTTTTCTCTTACTCGATTTCTTTCTTTTTTCTTCCTTTTCGTTGACTTTGTGCGCAATGTCCTTTTCATCGTTTTTCTTCTTACTCAAAGGGAAAGATATAAGTGAATATCGTTAGTAAACATCATCTAACCTGACGCTATCCTTTACCAGCTAGCCTACTTTACTCACAACCTCCCCTCTCTTAAAGCGTGTCCTTTGGGCTATCACTTATATTCTCCTAGCAAAACAAACCATTTGCGCCACTTTAATTTCACTTTTTTAATCTTTACAGTCAATAAAGTATGAATGCGCACTCGCTAACACCGCATTCCTTGGCATGTTTTTGGGCTGCCTGTGGTCTAAACAACTCCATATTGGTCTACCTGTGGTACGAATCCAACATGGTGGACGACTGGTAGTAGAAAATGCATTCTCTCTTCTATGTTTTATTTTTTCTCTATTTATGGAGCATTATCACGTTCGCTATTATCTTACCTTGGCTCTGTCAGGACCTTGGTTTCTCTCAGTACTACAGATCTTCGAAACTCACGAAGGAGAAGCTTGAAAACTTCAACTCGCGAAGAACAGTCGAAGCCTTTCACTTTTTCTCTCATCTTCGAGCTCAGCCTCAGAGCGTTTTTTCCTTGAACGAACCTCGTTATATAGAAGAAAATCTTAGGATTGCTTTCGTGGTTGTCAGCGTTAGACGACAGTCTAATCCGCACTATCTTCTTCAAGTCGTTGCGCGTTTATTGAGTCAAACACGAGGCGAGACAGACACGAAGTGGAAAACAAAAATTGTTGTACTCAACGCAGATACAAATCCCTCTGTTAACAAAGATGCTGAATATCTAGAAAACTATTTAACAGTCATCAGCACCCGGACTTCTCATAAAGGGAGTAATATTTCTGTGATTGATAACGTTCATGAAAAAGAAAAACAAGATTATGTTTTAGCATTAAAAATCGGCGCCTCCCTCAACGCAGATTATACAGTTATTATCGAAGATGACGCACTGCCTGATAGAGATTTTCTTCAAAAGCTTAAATTTCTTATAAACTGGAAAATATCTTGGTTAAGGACTAAGCCAGGTTGGGCTTTTCTGAAGTTGTATTACCCAGAAAAATGGCAAGGATTTGGCAACACAGAAATACCAGAATTGATTCTTATATTTATTTTTGGTGGTGCTATTCCCACAGTGATATATTTGTACATATTTTTGAACTTGAAAAGACTCAGGATCTATAAGTACAAATGTCAAATGGTGATGATTATATTATTATTCATAAGTTGTGGTTTATACTGCATGATGGCAGCGTACACCATTGGCCGAGCTCATTTAATAGAATTGGGAAAGATATCACCATTGTTCTACAGAGTTACGCAAGCGCCTGGTTGCTGTACTCCATGTGTGTTATATCCAAGAGCTTACCTCAAGGATATCATAGAATTCTTAGAGTCGAAAAAGTGTAAGAAGAGCTACCCTCTAGATTTTGCTCTTGATGATTTCGTCGCAGTTCAACACCTTGTCAAGTATCTAGCCAGTCCTAATTTAGTGTCACATATTGGATTCCATTCTAGCTTAGGTGGGGCTGATAAAGACTTGAAGGAGTTTTCTTTGCTATTTGATTCATAAAAGGACAAACATATTCAATATGGAAAGATTTCAACTCAGTGGTTGAAAATCATATACCCTAATAATTATGCATATATATATATAATTATTTTAATAAAGTTAGTCACCTTTTGATACAATTTGCAGCTTGAGGATGCTCAGAAGAGGTGAGACTGTAACTGGTAAAAGATCTAAAATCCATCGACAGTTATTAAAGTGGTTGAAACATGTAAAATGTAACTACCCATAATCCTTATTGGTCTTAGCTTTGTAGCTTTTCAGGCGACTAACTTTATTGAAATAAGTGTATATAAATTATGTAGTAAAACACAATCAAAACTACAAAAATTAAGTACACACACAGGTATGGTGTATATTAAGAAATGGTAGAAGTCCTGTTGATTTGTATTGAAGATATGTTCAGAAAATGGTAAATCCGATATTATGATAGATTTACTTTATAGAAGACTGCCATAGAGGTTTGGGCTTCCTGTGGAATTGTAAGGCTTTTGTATTCAAAGATTATATTGCAAAGATATAATATATAATATAATTTAATAAGTTTAGTTATGATATTCATTATTCAAAAAATCAAATTAGCTATGTGACATTATTAAACATTAATCTTATTCTAAATACTTATATGTTACGAAAATCCATGTTAGTATTAAAAGTTGTCAATTCAACCGTACAAAAAAAAAGCTATTAGCCCTAAAATCAGTGACGACTCACCCACAGATCAAACCCTGAAACAACCTCTGGGCTGATCTAAGTCAGGGCATGGCTAACTCACAGATCAAACCCTGAAACGACCTCTGAACTGATCTAAGTTAGGGCATGGCTAACTCACAGATCGAACCCTGAAACAACCTCTGGGCTGATCTAAGTTAGGGCATGGCTAACTCACAGATCGAANAGATCGAACCCTGAAACAACCTCTGGGCTGATCTAAGTTAGGGCATGGCTAACTCACAGATCGAACCCTGAAACAACCTCTGGGCTGATCTAAGTCTGGGCACGGCTAACTCACAGATCAAACCCTGAAACGACCTCTGAAGTGATCTAAGTTAGGGCATGGCTAACTCACAGATCAAACCCTGAAACAACCTCTGGGCTGATCTAAGTCTGGGCATGGCTAACTCACAGATCAAACCCTGAAACAATCTCTAGGCTGATCTAAGTTAGGGCATGGCTAACACACATCAAACCCTGAAACAATTGGCTGATCTAAGTCAGGGTACTGCAAACTCACAGATTGAACCCTGAAACAACCTCTGGACTGATCTAAGTTAGGGTGTCGCTAACTCACAGATCAAACCCTGAAACAACCTCTGGGCTGATCTAAGTCAGGGTGGCATGGCTAACTCACACATCAAACCCTGAAACAACCTCGACACTGGTATAAATAACTATGCTAACAAAATATTCATAGTATATACACTCTTTACAAATTAAATCAATTGCATTTAGTTTTTGTTGAGTCAGTTCGCCGGGAAAACGTCAGGGAACGTCCGATAGTGGAGGCAACTTTCCTGCCATTTTTTGAGAATGCGCAGTTCATTATGACAAGTGTCTTCGAACTTGACAAGCTATTTGCACCGATTGGGACTAATTACAAAAACCACAAGCTGTTAGATACCTGTATAAATAATATCCTCAATTGAAATTTGATTTTATTCTGATAAAACTTTGTAATGGGATCTAAACCTTGTGTTTATTGACACAAATGCGGAAGGACGAATATATAGGAGTATATTATTCTGACGAATACGGCCAAGATCTCCGGAGGTAATCCCACACGCTTAGTGAGTATATAAAGCATACAAAATTACTATGTATTTTATTTAAAAAATACTGTTTCTTCCTTAAAAAAAATCGTAAAGAATGGTTAAATAACGAATGGTTTACATATAAATTGTTAGCACGGCAGCATGGTGGAATAACGAATATTTTACATATATAGTATTTCAAATATACCGAAATGCAAAACAGGTAGTTCGGCATTCTTGTTCCATTTCGGCCTTGCGTCAATACTTAGCGGGAATACTTTATTTTTACTTTAGATTATTAATGAGTTCGTAGTTAAAAACCGCGGCTACGGTGTCAAACATAATGCAAAAGTGATAAGACAAAATAATGCAAATTGATGTGGGCGAGCATATTTCTTAATTGTTGAAGATTTGGCAGAAAGAGAAAGAAAATATTCTATTGAAAATAGGAATAACACGAGTTAGTACTTGACGGCCTTGGTATAAGTGTTATAAAATAAATAGTAAGTCGCGATCATTATCACTAGATTAAAAGCTGATAAGCCTGAAAACCAAGTACTGATCAAACGATCAAAATATATAATTAATGTAGAGGGACTGCAGGGCACTTTAGTCAAGTAAAGATTTAGCTCTTTCTTTAGAACTGAGTTGAAAAAATATATTGCAAGGCATATGAATGTCTTCTGATCAACCCTTCGTACTCCAATATACATATAAAGATAAGCTTGAATGTTTGTACTTTATATTTGACAATTCAACTTGTAACGACAGCGTATATATTACGTTGTCATGGATCGGATTAGAAAGCAACATTTTATAACAAGATATATTGATGAATTCTTCTTTCGCATTTTTCTCTGGCCTCAGTGAGGATCAGTCAACAAGGTCTGCTATATTCTTTCGTACAAGGAAGGCTTAATTAAGTCTTATATTCTGGTAGGTAAATAGATACGAGAACTGTGTAGTAAAGAGGGTGTTAAACGTCCGAAAACAAAAGATCAATCGATTGTTGCTAAGATTGACGAAAAGGTGCGAGGAAAAATGAAATTCCAAGAATAACAGCTGTTGAAAAGAATGGCAAACAAAGACGTTGGGAGTTTGAATATCACACGACAAGCCAATTTTTAATTCAATCTGTGAGTTAGCCATGCCCTGACTTAGATCAGCCCAGAGGCTGTTTCAGGGTTCGATCTGTGAGTTTGCCATGCCCTACAACTTAGATCACCCCAGAGGTCGTTTCAGGGTTTGGTCTGCGAGTTAACCAAGCTCGGACTTGGATCAGCCCCGAAGTTGTTCAGGGTATCAGTAAAACCATAAAGGACTCTTTTAAATTCATGAGCAATCCAAGATCAATACAAGTAACGTAATGACACTATAAGACATAAAACTGTCAATGGCAAATGAATTAACGTTAACGACTTACATGTACTAGTACCTAATTACAAATGATAAATTTTGTCAAATGACGCCATTATGTTTCAGTGATGTCATCAGACCTTTTGTTACTACTAGCCATTGTGAGGTTTAGAAAAAAACTGGTTTGAGTTGGCATATCAGTGCATTGTGGAACGTTAGGGAACAAAATAGACGCCATGTTAGAAATACGTCGACTGAGTTCTTTCCTGAGTGGCTAATTGAATTTTCCGAAGAGTGTTCTTAATGGGGCTTTCAAGTTGTGAAGCATTGGATTGAAGGGAGGGAGGTGGAGAGAGGTGTGTTTTAGAGAGTTGTTCGCAGCAGTGCTTCCCAGTCGTAGGTTTCAAAGTTACAACTAGGAAGTGATAATTCGAAAAAGACGAAAAAAGCTTTTGGTTATTTAGTTTTCTAGTCATTTTGAAGGTCGCAGAAATAATTCCAAAAAGAATCCAAAAATGACATGTCAGTCTGATTAAGCTTGTAGTTTGAAATGCGATTAGTACTTTTGACAAGACTTTCCATTTGAAACTTAAATCTTCCGGTCAGAAAGAGGCAATTGTCTTATCGTTCGTGTCGCCGAATGATCTGCATTTTATTTCAGTATTTCTCACAAAATTTTCTATAATAAATAGGTCGGTATGAAACAGGAGTATTAGTCTTTTCGACAAATTCCACGTTTCTATTTTAGAGAACGCTCTCTAATATTAATTAATAATGCATTAGACTCAAGATTACAAGATTATTTAAAAAGCTTATCAACAACGCAATTCAAAGGCTTTATTACTATTTATTGAATAATTAATAATGGCTTTTTTTAATGACGTTTTAGTATGCGTTCATAATATCAATCAACATTTTACGAAATAATTTACAGCCAGAACCTAAGTCTCCAAACCAGCGTGAATTGAACTATAAAGTGGAAGGGATTTAAAATTCTAATTTATTTGAAATCGCATTTTTTTCAAAAGAAGTTTGGAATTCAATAATGTCGCCCTTGTAGAAGAAAGGAGCTTAATGAAACAACATCTGGAAAAAAAGTGGTTAATTCTTGTATAGCAAACTGAAGAAGATGAATCGAAGCGACGAGTTTTGGTTTTTGGTGAAAGAGTAAAAATGAATCGCCTCCGTCTCTGCATGTCGTCAAAAAAAATTGTTTTTACTTGTGAATTGGGTTAGTCAAAATTACTTTTCATATTTTTTTTCTTTAATCCAAACAGCAGGTTACTAAAAAGAGTTTTTTCAATCGTTTTTAGACAGGTAGGGAATTTGTAATTCTCCGGTAAAGCACACAGCTCGTCAGTAACAAGCGGGAAAGTCACCATCATGGTTTGTGGCATTTTGCTTCTTCTCATTTTTCAAATTACGGCACAGCGTTGCGTCCTGGGTATAACAACTTCGCCTAAAGGAAGACAACTTCCAGGAACTAACCAGATTGCCTTGAATAAATCTGCCCTAACAACGTGGAGAAACTCTAGTACTTCTAAACGCGTCCAAAATGATGGTAAAATTGGAATACTAATCGAGAAAGAAATGTATCCTTATTTTGAGAAAGCAATGCTGTTCCAGAATTCTATTTTACAAAGCGTTAAAATGCTACCAAAAGTCGTGGAGAACAATCCATACGCCGTTCTACAGGCGATATGTAATTTTACTGGTAAAGATGTGAGTGGATTAGCATTTATCTGTGAGGAGCCTTGCTCAGAAATGACTTCATTTGCCAGTTTACTTGGTTGGTCAGGTGTTATGGTCAAGGGGCGAAGCACCGAACGTTCTCTGATATTCCCAGTAAGTTTTGACTAGATTATTTTTTATCATCAATCGTTTATAATTACTGAGCCTTGGTCACACTCATCTAACGCATTAAAGTGTAGTGCTTTTATTATTTCAATTGTATACTTTCTCGTATTAAACGAAAAGTGAAATGGTTTTACTACATACTATTCTTTATCAATCATTCAGCGTAATACCAGTTAAACCTCGGTTAGACTTATCTAATGCATTAATAATGCTTCTAAGTCTAAACATTGTAGTGTTTTCAAGTTAAAATTAACTTACTTTACGTTATGCTCATAACAATTTTCGCTCAATTGACAACGCCAAATGTTTCGCCAAATTTTTTATCGGGATTAATTTTAATTATCAATTCCTTGGAGGGTTAAACGTTTTTTTATCTAGAAGAATAAGAGAAACCGGAAGAAAAAAAGGAAAAAGGCAAGATTTACTCACTGGGTAATTATCTAGAGACAGCTTGATACTGATGACTACCTTAATAGATTAAATGCTTACGTCTTAGCGAGTAATATATAGTTATCTTACTAACTACTGTTTACCTTCGTTTCTAATTCATCTCCGTTACTGACTGGGATCTTAATTTCATGCCAAAACAATTACTGATTACTGAAGGTTAAGTTGAACAACATTCGTTATAATTTGTTAAATATATAAACAATGAAGGAAAGACAAAATCTAGAAATAAAATTTAGAATTTAGTTATCTAAATTGTGCAATTCTAATACATATTTTTTGAATTTTCTTTCTTTTTTATTTTTTTTGTATTTTTTTCTAAACTATAGCTTGATCCTAATGTCTCATTAAAACCATTTTTAGAATGGTTTTAATGAGACATTAGAATCAAGCTATAGTTTAGAAAAAATTACCAAAAAAAAGAAAATTCAAAAAATATGTATTAGAATTGGCAAAAAAAATTATCTTATTAGAATGGGTAAAAAAATTTTTTAAAAAATTATCGAAACCATAACATAGTACTTGTCTAGACATTTTATACAACAAGCTTTAATGAAAAAACCTTATACCTGCATTAGCTTTATTCTAAACAAATTAGTCTTTACTGATTGGCTTTCTTCTGCATTGATATTCAAAAAAATTTTTAACAATTATATATATTTTTTGGATCAATTTCAACTTCATCTGCTAAATAATTAGGCTCATCGTTAATTGAGGAGTAACAAGAAGAGATAACTAGCTAGAAACTAGTGTGAGCTGCGTCGGTGTTTCTAATGAAACTGAGTAATGATAAAAAGTTAAATTATACACTGTGAGGAGTAATAACGTCATTTCGGATATGGCACATTATTTCCACCGTCGAATCTGCGGTGGATATTTCGTATGGAATTTTAAAACTGTGAGCCTCCAATTCGCTTTTATGTTTGTTTTATTATTTCAAGGTTTTTTGCTGGTTCTAGCTTCAGTTAATCAAAAATACTAAATCACAAGATCGAGAATTTTATTGAAGAAAGCCAAAATATTAAAATCATATTCTCTGTCTGAGCGAAGAAGCGCGAAAATCACCCTTATTTTGAGCCGCGGAGGAGCGGAACGTGAGGAGCGTTCTATTTTTGGGCGTGATCTAGAGATTCCGCCATATTGCGCCCTAATTTTCAGCCCCAATTTTCAAGAGCATTCGCGTTACGATTCTTAAATCTCAATGCATTATGGGATATCAATCGCCCTAATTTTTGGGTGCGTTTTAAAAATTCCGTAATTTAGCCCCAAGCTTCAAGAGCATTTGCGTCACAAGTCTTAAATCTAATGCCTCAGAAAATGGCGCGCTTTTTGGATATATATCCCACAATGCAGTGCGCACTGGACTAAGCCATTAAAACGTTTTTATTTTATTTTACCACAGAAAGAACCCACCTCATTTTTAGATATTTCACCTGCTAAATACTTACAGAACGACGCTGTGATCGAACTTTTCGTTCAATTCCAATGGAAGTTAATCTGCCTTATTCATGATACAAAACCTTCGACTGCTTCTCTCGTCGCGGACCTAAAAGAACGGATGAAAAAGAGAGATTTGTCTCTTAATCACGTGATCGAACTGGATGGGACAAATGTTACCATTGCTGATGGTCTGAAGAGGGTGTATGGGAAGTCCATGGTTTTTGTTCTTTATTGCAGTAGTATGAGTGCCGAAAGTGTTTTAGAAATTGCTAGCCGACAGCGGCTTACGAGCAAAAAGCATGCGTGGATTGTGGGAGAGATGATCTTGGAAAATCGCGGGGAAAATGTACCAGGTATGACCTTTTTTATAGTTGATGATAATGGAGATGACAGTGATGATGATGATGACGACGACGACGACGTTGATGATGATGATGATGATAATGATGATGCTGATGATAATGATAATGATGATAGTGATGAAGATATTAGTGATAATGATAGTGGTAATAATGACGATGATGGTGCTGATTGCGGTGGTTATCATCATAAACGGGGTGGTGAAGACTCGAGGTGAGTGGCAATCATAATAATAAACATTCAATTGTTTACATTTGAAATATTTATGATAATTTCATTAATCTTTAGAAGTTGTCGTTCAGCAGCATAATAAAGATAAAGGAAAAGCTTTTTCCTTTACGGTTATTTTTCATTGATAGAATCTTTTCCCATTGGTTTGATTGGGGTCGAGTACGTAATGAAAGACAAGACCGCTGACCACATAGCCGACGCAATTAACGTGATTGCTTCTGGGATCAATCACATGACAGATAGTGAAGCCAATATGAATAAATTAAAAGGAAATTGTGACAACACAACAGTTTCTTCAGTTTCACCTTTATACCGGTAAGATGTCACGTGATGACCTCGGGTGTGGGGAACGTCTCGTGACAATTACTTAGCTTCATGACATCAGTGCGGGGAACGACACGTAATCATTAGTTAATGACATCATGTTTGCAGACCATCGCGTGACAATTACTTGAAGATATTTGGTAAAACCAATATAACGACAACTGGAAGTGACGAAGCATTAAAAATATGTATAATTTTACTTCTACTTTCATTACTTATTTATTGCATGCCATTTTTTCTCCCAAGGAAAATGATTAACGTTACATTGAAAGGAAAAACAGGGATAGTATCTTTCGACGAAGAGGGCCATCGAACAGGCGCCAAGTACGCCTTCCTAAATCTCCGCAAAGAAAGAAACACCCAGAAGTTATTCTGGCAAAACGTTGGCTTCCTGGAAAATGATCACGTGACTTTAGAACAAATAGTTTGGCCTGGTGATGTTGTACATACTCCCAGCGGTCTTCCCCGTGCGAGCCTGCGCGTAGTGATGTACGAGGTGGCGCCATTAATATACGTTAAAGAGAGTGACTCGACGGAAGAATGTCAACAGGGCATCACATGTACACTTGTAACCAAAGAAAATAAAGGTGAACGCATATACTTGATATTATCGCATTGAACGCGCTTTAAAATGATTTTAGTTGGGCACGGTTCCCCATTTCAGACCACTACGAAGACAAATGAACTGGATACGAACTCAAGCAAATAATCTTATTATCAAGAGAATCAGACACGTGGTCTGGAATGGGAAAACATTACATCAAAGCTAAAGCAGTGTATTGAATTCACACCATCCTCTGATTGCAGGGTGTAGTTGTCCCCTTGGAATAAGATTTATTGGTTGAGTCTCGTATTCAAATACAGCTATTAAAAAAAAGAATGGTGAAGGTTTTGTTTCATGCTGCATACCAAGTAAAAAATGCGCTATGGGCGATCAATTCAACAAAAGGTTACAGCGAAATAAACATTTTCCCAAACTCTGTCTTCACTTTTTCCTGCATAATTTCTTCATTGCTGACATGAAATAAAGAAACTACTAATAAAGAAACTATATTAACTAAAGAAACATTCTGTTCTGATATTATAGAGGTGCCAAGGTGCTGTTACGGGCTGTGTATCGATCTGATCAACATGTTGAGTCAAGACCTTGATTTTGATCCTATCATTCGTATTATTGAAGGAGGTCGAGCGGGTTCCTTTAAACATGGAAAATGGACAGGTAGGACCTAGTTAAGGCCAGTGTCAGTGCCTTACTTTCAACATCAAACGTTTCCCAACTAAAACTGTCGTTCACGTGAGACATCAACTAAATATCAATATTTGGAAAGCTTACCTTATTTGGAAGTAAACATAGATTTCTTCTTGGTGATTTGTCCGCCATTTAAAGCTTTAAAATGAAGAAAATATGAATCAAAACTTGCAGATATTGTAGTGAAGAAACACTCGAAATTGTCCACCATCTTGAATTTAGCTTAGAGACCTGGCCTTTGAGAAAGGAAGCCCAAAACGTTTAAGATCGCAGGGATCCCGCTCGAACGACAAAATGATTAGAAGTTCTAATTATATACCATTTCTGTGTATTCCATAATTGACAGATGTCAATTCTAAAAGTTGCCATTGAAGTGTCTTTTATGACTGACAGACGTCACTTCTGAAGTACACCACTTCGGTGTATTTCTATTATTGACAGACATCACTGTTCAATCCATGAAAACAACCGTACTCCATGATTGACAGCCGTCAGTCCTAAATAATATAATTTACTTCCATTCCATAGTAGGCAGCAATCACGTTCCTGTAAATGATAGGCATTTAAGTGCGTTCCATTTTTGACAGACGTCACTTTTTAAGAACACTATTTTACTGTATATCTTGATTGACAAGCATTACTTTTAAAGTAGGCTTTTTCAGTGCATTCAAATATTCTCTTATTTTGTCTTTCAGGTTTAGTAGGTTCAGTGCTCTACGGAGAAGCAGACATGGGAATGTCGTCCATCAGCATCACCGAAGAAAGAAGCAAAGTTATCGACTTTACAGAACCCTTCCTACATACGGGATCTACCATACTGGTTGCTAAGCGACCGGGAAGTTTCAAAGGAGACGGATTCCTTAGACCTTTTGAGGTCTAATATATTGGCTTTTAATCTTTTTAGTCTAAAAATTTCCTCTGGGGGAGGGGGCAAGTCACTCAAAACAACATTTCTCTCTTGTTTTTTGTTTGTTAACGAAAGTTTTGTAAAGTTGATAAACTAGTAATTTTAAGTTGAAGACTGAAAAGAGCAAAGATGTTTTACAGTTTACGAGGTTATAGATACTAAAGAAACTTAATTATTTAGGCTTTTTAAAGCTATTTTTAGTCATATCGTGTATAATTTTATAATACGAATTTATAACAAATTGATACACGGACGGAATCCCCATTAAATACAAAAATATTCACTCAACATTCACTCAATGCTCTAAACTTTTCCCACAGCTTGAATCCTGGTTATTTATATTTGGAGTTCTTTACCTTGTGGCGTTCGTAATCTTCATTTTTGAGTCCAAAAATCCTGGTCTTCAGCGTTCAAAACACAAACACCTCGCTGGTCAGTTCGACATTCATGTGTCTATCTGGCTCATCTATTCCAGATTGTTCAGCGGTAATCTTGATGCGCATGTGCCGAGGTTTGTTAGTAGTAGGGTGGTTCTAAGCTCCTGGGCATTTTCGTCCCTGCTGTTGATCGCCCTTTATACCGCAAATCTTGCAGCATTTATGGTGCAGAAGGAACAAGCACACTACATAGACAGCATCAATGACTCAATCGTGAGTATTTACATTGGATTTCAAATTTGACCGCTCTTTTTTCCATTGGGCTGCCTGTGCTTATCGGCAAACACAGACATCCCAAAAAGTACTATTATTTTTAAATCTCATTATTGTTCCAAATGGTGGTCAAGCACTGACCACTTCGCAATTACTGCCAAAAAGAATTCTGTTAAAAACTTGTAATCGAGCTGATAAGCCTTCTGCACATGACAGGAAGTGATGTCAAACCCAGTACATATTATACTACACTAGAGCTCTACACTGCATGGCCAAAAAAACTGAAAAATATCAGATCTGCCACTACAGTTGATTTAGTACTATGTTTTTCTTTATTGTGTGTAGATTCAAAACCCATCAAAAAGCCTTCTCAGGTTCACAACCATCCGCGATACAAGCGTAGAGAACTACTTCAAAGTGAACTATCCACGGATCTTCAAATACATGAGACAGTACCAATTCAACCATTCGTCCGATGGTGTGCAAGCTGTAAAAGACGGGTAAGTCATATTGACGCGTTACTGTGACGTCAATCATCACGTGGTGGTGCATTCATGAGTAGAAGTTGTTCTAGTCAGGATTTTGCGTGAGGAATATATATATTTTCAAGAACCTTTTCCATCATTTTTGTATCTTTTTTTTTTTTTGAGAGGCAAATTAGAACTGAATTTTTAGAAACGATTGATAGACTTGGGAGAGTAAGTCGCGCGAAAACCGTCTTGGCTTGTTACAACGGAATATCGTATAAAATTTATATTTATATTACTTGTTCATTATTGCATCTAGGTATAAAAGAGTTGAATATAGCCATATTTGTTGATATTACACTGATAATCGTTTGAAACGAGATGAAACAAAGGCGTCCTGCGCAACGACTCCAAACGCCTTTTCGCTACGACACTCTCCCCAGTTTATCACTCGTTTCTAAAATGGTCAATATTCAAAGTGGGTTGTTCTTTGCAGTAAAATTGATGCATTTATTTGGGAAGCGGTCACCCTGGATCGATACGTTGCAAATGACAGCAGATGTAACCTACTGACGGTTGGGAAACAGTTCGACAAGAACGGCTTCGCTGCAGTCTTTAGTAAAGGATCTGAATGGACGAAGAAGGTGTCCGAGAAGATTATGGAGTACCAGACATCGGAAGAATACAGACAAATGGCTGAAAAATGGCAGGAAGGTAGGGATATTTTTGAATGGAACCTGGAATTCACACGAGGCAATTTCAAATATAAACGTTACATTTTGACATTCAAATATTAAAATCTAAAATTTTTGAAATTTTATCGAAACCTAAAAACAACCTCTGGGCAGGACACAGCTAAATCTCAGATCGAATTAGATGTTGCGGAGGGAGGAAAACCGGAAAAAAATCTTCAAATCAAATGTTCGACTTAACAAACTCTACTCACAAGTGATTTTTTGAGTCTACGAATCGAACAAGAGACCTCAGAGATGAGAGACAAGTGACACTACGCCCCCCTTGGTTTCAAGCTGTATGTTTCGTAAGGTCGCTCAGTCCTTGTAGTTTTTCTCTGACCAAAATCATTATTATTTCAAATTCACAGGATCCTGTAAACAAACGCCAAAAGCGGGCCGCTTCAAGGCAGCCTTTTCTATAGATCGACTGGATTATGTGAATCTGTCAGGAGTGTTTTACCTGTTGGCTGTTGGTATTGGCTTGTCTTTCTTGGTGCTCATCGGAGAAAACTTTTACTGGATGTTCCAGAAGAAGACAGAGAACAGAAGAATGAATACACGGTCACCTATGGTAAGGTGCGCGATTTGTATCAGGGGCGAATCCAGGACTTTTCTATGATTCTAAAGGAACCAATTTGGCATGAGTATGATTATGAAGAAACGCAGCGTGGCCGTCGTAACACGGTCATGTCATAGTATTCTGATTGGACAAGGAAGTAAACAATGGCGATGTGATTGACTAACTAAATCAATGTTATGGTTTTAGCACTGCGTGACAGCTCTGCTTTGATTTTTGATATTTTTAGTCGATGCAAAAGACAATTTGTCTCATGATTTTGTAATTCTTGGATTTCTAGAATGGGGCTGAAAGGCTCGAACTACAAAAGAAAGTGGGCGAAGTGAGAGAGTTTTTAGATGATAACTACTACAGAGATCAACAAGTAGTATTTTTGTCAAAGGCAAGTGGAAACGATCTTTGAATTAATTATTAATAAGCATCACTAAGGAAGGTAAGCCTACTCACCTGATCATTTCCCGCCATCTTGTAAACGTGACGTCAATAATACTTTTGCGCCAAGGATAAATTCTCTCTCAAGGAAAACGTATTTTAAGCCTTAAAGAGGATGAGGTCACGTGTTCATTTCCCGCCATTTTATAATATATTTTTAGCATTACTCCAGCGGTGATTATCGTCTCAGAATCACCGGTTGCTCGACCAACCATAGCTCGAGAAACTCTAAATTAAAGTCTAAAATTATACCTCATAATATATAACTTTTAGGTGGAGAAAGAATTACAAGAGACTCTTCAAGAGCTTCGGGACGTTCAAGCAATGTTAGACACACGGTATTTATAAATTATATAAAATGTCCTTGACAAAAAGAAATATGGTAACCTGGGTGGTGAGAATCAGTCGCTCGGAGACTGGGGCTTAGCCTTTGAGTGGACAGGAATCGGTTACGAAATATATGGTGAATACAGTAGTGAGCAAAATTAAAACATCAAACTTCGATACCTGTGTTTAAAAATTAATAATAATAAATAAATAAATAAATAAAAAATAAAATTTAAGTAGGTATAAGTTTTTGGCGGCCCATCCAAGAACTAACCCTGCCCGACCGGGCTTGACTCAGTGTTTTGGAAGCCCAAAGGTTTTTCCACTGGACCACGGTTCCAGGTGAATCAGCATAACAATAGCCGTGAAAACAATGCACCGAATAGACTAGACTTTTTAACATTGTTTTTTCAACCGATTCCGTGCGTTGCAGAGATGCAAGGGGTCAGCCGATATGGTCTGGGGGCCGGCTGGTCTCTCCCCTGATGCTCCGGCTAGAACATTTTCTTGCGTAATTCGTACACCCAAGGGCAGAAGGATTTAATCGCCGTCAGGTCCGAAGTCCATACGCCGCCTCAGCTCTGCGGATGTCTCGGGGGTATGGCAAAGTGGAGTCGTTTTTTTTTCTTTTTTTTTTCTTTTTCTTTTTTCTTTTTTTTCTTTTGCGGTGCTTTTGCTTTTTTCTCATTTTAATTTTAATTTTTTTATCAAGTTAAGAAATTTTTTGCTTTAATTGGATTGGATTGAAACCCTTACAATGGCTATCTCTTTAGAAATAGTGTGTACTAATTTATGTTTAATTTATATGGCAATGAGATTACTGTATACCCAAATTAAAGGGTTTCTCAGTCCCCGCGCGAAAAATATTTGCCCAAGCCTGGAGAGGGAAACTGGACGGAAGGATCTGATAAGTTCAGTTCCACGGTATTCTGATTGGCTAGTACCACCGTACTATTGCGCGCTGCCTCTGACTATTATTATGGTGGGCTACAGTTTTGTTAGCTGCATTAAGGATTAACATTCATAACATAATATTCGATTCTTTGCAGTCGCCATTTCCTCACACCTTTCGACAACAGTAGATCAGACAGCAACCAAGATGACATTTTAGAGGGTTTGACTCTCAGTGAAGTCAAAAGTGCCATTGAATCAATGAAACTGGAAGAATTCAAGAATTCTAAAGTAGAAAGAGAGTCAGTAGTATAGCGGGGACAATAGTACCGCAAGTAGGGCGTGAGATGGTCACGTGGAAATCTCTCCACCGTTTATGGTATCAATGTAGCGCGCGCGCGGTTTTGGCGCGAAAGTTCGGGCTAATCAAATTCAATCGAGTTTATTGGTAATGATAAAACTAGAATGAAATGAAATTTAGTTTTTTTCATTTTACATAACTAGATAGTTTGGTTTGAGATTATATGGTTAGTAAAATATACTAAATTGGAAAAAGGGTTGTCAAATAAAATGTTTTGATGATTTATCAGTTCGTTCTGTATTTTGTAAATCTTTCTCCTTGTCCCTTATTCCCTGTCTTTCTGTTTGTCTGTCAGCCAAGCCTGTTAGTCTTACTGTTACAAAAACATAAAAAGTTTTGAATTCTAAGATTATTACAGAAAAAAGAATTACTTCATTTAAATTTTTATTAACTTTTAATTCAATAGCAATATTTGATTTTCCATTTTGATCAGAGTGTATTGCTTTTTTTCAAATTCAATTCAAAAATTGTTGCAAATTTATTAAACTAGTCATATCTGACAATGGACCTTTCTCAAGTGGCAGCCATGTTTACTGGAACAATAGAGTTTTCCCTGCATAGCCTTACAATCAAGTGTTACTGGATGAGGGTTCTATTCTGCCAGGAAGGAACATGAAGGCATGAGATCAAGGTCCATTAAATTTGTGAAAATTTACCTTAATTTTATTGTGCCATATTTACAATTAACCTAATTCATGAATTATTACTATATTAATTTGTAAATAATAATTAATTTGCAAGAATAATTAATCAATATTTTGTACATATTTTGTCTAATTGCAGTCTAGTATAATTGTCTATTCAAAAAGCAAAATTACACCATAACTGTACATGTAATGCAAATTGTAATTAATGAGAAAAGTTAACATCCAGCAGTTGTGGGCAAACTTTCTTCAAAGCTTTTGCTGTGCTTTCTACTTCTTTCTTGGAGGGTAAGATAGAAGTTCCATGAACACAGAGCCGTTCAAGCAATGGACACAGTACATTGATATGATCCATCAACACAGACGTACAGGAACTGACTTGTAATTCTTTGAGTGAGTCGTTCTGCACTGTTATTTGACAGGGACCATGGCAGTTCTGTAGGGCCAGGGATTCAATTTCATAAAAATGGTCAAGCATGTCAGTCAGTGATGCATCAAGATTGCACAAGTCCATAACAGCTTGTTTCACATAACATTTGTTAATAACTATGGACCGTATATTCAACTTCTTGAGCACTAACATACCAATACTTAAATTGGACTGGAAATGAATTGTCGTAAAACTTGCTGGCTTTATTTGTCGAACCCTTCTGTCAAAATCCAACTCTAGGTGCTTAACCTTGCTGGCATTTAAAATAAGTTTTCGTAAGTGAGGAACATTTCTTATGACTATGCTGTCCATTTCTTCTGATCTTATTGCAACCACCTTGAGCAGTGAGGAGTGGATCAAAGATTTCATAAATGTCAGTACTCTAAGCTTTGGACACCGAATGTCAAGAGAGATCAGACCACACCCACTGTCAAACACAGATAACATCTCAAGTGAAGGGTTTGAATTCTGGTCCAGCCTTAAATTAGCAAAACATACTTCAAGATCTAGTTTCTTAATGTCAGGATTCTGTACAAGAAATCGAATCAGCTCAGAAGAACTCAGTGCCGAACATCTACGTATTTTGACCTCATGAAGTGATGTTGAAGAAACTTTGCTAAGTTTTCTCAGCTCAGAGCAATGAACCAAGTCTAGAACCCTAAGCGATGGAGCATAAACAGTTAATGTTTGTAGTGATGTTGATAAATTTATAGTGAGTTTTTGCAAGTGTGGGAGATCAAATCTGAACTCTGCAAAGTCACCTATTTGAAAGAGATTCATCTCCTTGATAGACTTTGACTCTAGGGCCAAGCACTGAATTGAGGGCAGCCCATGGATTTGATCATTTCCATAGGTAAAACTCTTCAACCCTTGTAAGTTCTGAACAACTTCATTCAAATCAAGAGGGTCTATCTTAGCTCTCTCAATTTGCAAATCAGTTATTCTACTGCTATATCTGCATGTTACAAGGTCTTGAATATAACTTAAGGTCTCTCGTTTAAATGTTGAGTACTGCAAGCTTATTTGATCAAGCCTGGGAAAGTTCTCTATCAATCTACAAAAGTCTTGTTCTCTGAATGTTCTATCCAAATCACCATCAGCTGCTTCGATTTCTATATTCTTCAGTGTCTTATAACAGGACAATTCTTTAAGTATCTTCTTATTCCAGCTCGTTCCTTTTATCTCTAAGAACTGAAGTGAACACAACCTTCTGGCGTGACCCTTTAAAGCATCAGTGAAGTAAGAATGACATCGACGGAGCCTCAAAACTTTGACATATTTTCCAAAATTCGTTAAAATGAATGTAAATCTACTAAGAAAAGGAGAATCAAGATAGCAATTTCTTATGTTTGCCAGCTCGATCGTTTCCCAGAGACAAGGATCTGGCGCTTTTATAATAATATTTCGCCATTGCCGGCAAACTAAGGCCAAATGAAAGATATTGTCGTAAATGGGATGGAAGTTCTTGAAAATTTTCAACCATAATTCATCTGGTAAATTACTTGAGTAGCTTTTGCTTTCCATCTCGTCTTTCTTTAATACTCTACCAAACGGCTCTTAAGAAAACCATCTTTTTTCTGTGTAACACAAACGTTTCTGTAAGTGAACTTGACTTAGCTAGCTTGGATTACTTCGTTCAAAATACTTGCTTTACGTAAAATACCACACATTTTCGATCCATAAAGATCCTCTGTTAACCATGTCGTCGATATGTTGATAAACTAGTTCCCTGTTCAAGGAGAACTGCAAGAAAATATCGCTAATACACGGTCCAACCCATTTTTCTTCGCCTTTCGTCCGCCATTTTCTTTTGTTTATCAAAGTAAGTACCCTTGAACAGCGGTTGGTGGCTATTCGTACGTCACTCGTACTTGTTTTTGCTATTCGTACGGGAGTCAAAAATTTCGTCGATTTTCTCGGGAACTCTGTATTCTTTTCCAACTTAATAACGATATTTCTGTTTAGACCAGTTAGGAGATTTATGTCAGTGATGTTATTTTGATTCAAACTTATTTGACCAGTATGTTAGAATTTTTTTCGTGTAGTCTGAGGTCAGTGTCACGCAAGGGAGCACATTAAAATTTTGTTTATGTAAAGAAAGTTGTTGTTCTTTATTGATCTATCGAGCGCGCGCAATCCATCATGTAACAGGCGTTCCTCGTAGTGTTTTGGTTTCGGCCGATCCGGAGTATACTAGTAAATTCGCTAGCCCGACTAAAGCAAGGAACGCCTGCCATGAAGTGTAGCGCGCGCACGTAAACAGGAACTACAAGGAACGCCTGCAACACAATCAAAATTTTAACGTGCTCCCTTGTGTCACGGCGGGAAATGTCACGCAATAGGATTTCTGACAACTCCCGTACGAATAATTCGCGATTGTTATTCGTTCGGGAGTCTGTTCAACGAATATTTACCAACATTTTTCACTCCCGTACAAATTATTCGCGATTGTTATTCGTACGGGAGTCTGTTCGCAACGAATATTTACCAACATTTTTCACTCCCGTACGAATTATTCGCGATTATTCGCGACGTTATCACAGAAAAAAGCTTTTCCTACAATCAATAACAGAAATAGAAGAGTAATGCATTAAGTTAATGAATTTATATGATTATCTTTTCTATGACAAAGAAAAATCTAAATTTTATGAATAAATATAGAATGTTGCCAAAATACTACTCTCCCCTCCCTATATATCTATTATTATGCTCCTAGTCCCCAGTACTTTTAATCAAGAGCGCGGGAACTGCAAAACTGTTAAACGAAAAACCAAACTCAAATAAGCTCTTTTAAAAAGCAGATTTTATCGTTTTATCTTTGACCGATTTTACTAAGATCTTATGTGAACGAAGAATATAAGATAAAGATGCTGAGATCATCTTTGTTAGAGAATCCAGAGAGTCCTTTGCGTTCAAATCCTTGGTCATCATCTTCAACTTTCGTTGATGTTGGTTCTTTGCAGAGAGTTATTTCTTTAGCAGAGAGAACAGGACACTTGGAAAGAGTAAGTAAATACTTTTTATAGGTTTATAGGAACAGGTGGAAAACTATATATCTACAGACCAAACTTGGTTCTCAAAATATGTGCATCTATTTTCTTAATGCTTCGGTTAAAACTAAGTTATTGATTTATGTTTAAAAATTCAAAAACTTGTATATTGTTTGATTGAGATTTTAAATATTTCCTCAGACCCTCCCCACCCCTTGGGGATTCCAATCCCCCTACATGGGGGAGGTATTGATATTCTCTGGAACTATACAATATACCCTCCTCAGACCCTCCCCACCCCTTAGAAATTCTAATCCCCATCCATGGGGGAGGTACCTATGTACATTTTCTAGGCATAACAGTCATTGCTTTTGATTCTATTTTGTTCAGAGGTCAGATGAAACTGAAGAAATCACAAGGCGAGCATCTCTGACATCGACATCAATACAAATGATAACAATTCTTAAGGATATTACAAAACTCGGACATGCACTAAACAAGGTAAATTGTTCCTGTATTGATTTATGAAATCCTCACTCAAATTTTCAAAAGATGTTTAGCCATTTGAAATCATTTTCTAAAATCCAATTGTCCTTTTCCTAATTCACTTGAGTGACCCAAAACCATGGTTGGACTTGATAAAATACAGTAAATGTATGAAAATGTTAGGGCCAACCTCAACTTGAAGCCATTGTTTTGTGGTCACTCAAGCAAATTCAGGAAAAGTCTATTTGGAGGAAAAAACAAAAGGTCTTTTTGGAGGACAAAACAAAAGAATTTCAATCCCATGATAACCTGTTGCTATGTCTTCCAAATTGAGCTGCATTCTGATGTACTGCAATGGAGGAATTACCATTTTTTTTGTAACCACTGCAAATTCCCATTTATCTATTTATTATTTTTTGTTTGTTTAAAGGTTAATCGAGAGCTCCAGAATCTAATCAGGAATGCTGAGACGCAAGACGTGACTGACATTGATACATTAGGTATGAACTGATGTAATGAAAAGTACTTGTTAGTGTCGTAAAACCACAGAGGTAGGAGGGGAAGTCACTCATATTGTTTTAGATAAAATATTAATTATTACTCAAGCAAACAAAACACATTCTCAGATGACATGGCTCTTAGCCAATCAGAAGGCTTCATTCCTTGGTAATGAAGAGCATTTCGAATTTAACTAAAGAAAGGTTCATATTTCTAAAATCAAACTGTACATAAGAATTCCATCAAAATTTAATCTGATATTAGTAAGACCACTGTCTGCTATAGAACATGCTAGTAACTGGTTATGATTTTACTAATAGTTCCTAATAATTTTCGTAAATATTATATTTTAATATCAAATTCGGTTTTTATGATATCTTACTCTTAGGGCAAAGAGCACATAAACTGGAGAAGATGGCATCACATTTATCCTCCATTGTTGAGAAAAAGGATGACCTTATTGCTAGACTTCAACAGCCTTTCATTGGGGAATATCTTGAGATGGATTCAGCATATCATTAGTGAGTGATCTGTAGGGTGCGGTCTGGATAGTTTGTTTGACTAGTTTGACTCCTCACCCCCCCCCCCTCCCTCCTCTCAGTGCCTCCCCCCTCATTGCAGCCAATCTTGTTCTGTTGGGGGAAGGAGGTGGTGAAGAAAAGATTGAAGATTGTTAACATCTAGGGTCCAAAATATTTACCAAATCATAGAAAACCAAAGAATTAAAATAAGATGGAAATGAAAAAGCTAGAGGGATTTAAATTCTAAATTACTGGATGGATGGGAAAATGAATGGGAAGTGTAATATCACAAGAACAGAAGGAGAAGAAAGAGGAAAACTTAAAGGGGAAATGATAAAAGTTGTCCTACAACATCTTTTATAACCTTATATCAATAATCAACTGTTCCAACACAGACACTTTCATCACTCAAATGAAACGTCTAATCTGCAAATACTGCTAAAGGTCCTGTTTTTTCCCAGCTCTGTGTCTTCATCACTTCCAAGGATTGCAACATGTCTAGCAACTTTACCAGAACATTTAGAAAACCTTGAATGGGCCAAAAGATTCTCCTTAACTGATGGACAGCTGGTAAGCAAAGTACATTTTCCTCGACAATTAGTAATAGTAAATTGAAAAATCTTTTTTGCTGTTTTTTGCAGGAAAATGTCCTTGTTGGTATTGAAGCGTCTTTTGCAGATCTTCAAAATCATTTTCGAGCAGTAATAAAAGGAAGAAAAGCGATGGAAAAGCTTCAGAACATTACTATAAAAGAGAACTCTCTGCCTAACAAGGAGAATAATTAAGGAAGGCAATATTCCGAGAAATTACTTCAGCACAACAGAAAGATTCTACTAACTCCATGACAAAATAACACAGCAAATCGTTAAACTTTTTCTTTTTTTCTTTTCTTTTTTTTTTTTTTTTTGTGCAACACTCTGTGGCAAAGGTACTTTCTTTCTCAAAACTTTTAGCACCAAATAATTTTTTTGCCTATGAAAAAGAGTTATAAGTACGATTCTAAAGAATCAGGACAATTAGAAAAAAAGCTGGGTTTTTTACCATTGGGTTACCGTAAGGTTTTCAACTTTAATGAAGCAGTTCTGCTGTTGCCTGTCGCGACAAAAAGATTAAGATTAACACTTTTAAGACGAAAGCGTCAAAGGATTTTATTGTGTGCGTAAAATAAATCCTGGTGAACTTCGCTCAAAGGACCGGAGATTAGCCTTTATTCAACTATTCGAAAATTCACCAAGTTTATCTCGAACGAGTTCAAAAGTCATTCAAAACTGACGGCTTTTTTATTGGTTTAAAAAAATAATTTCGGAAGCCCTGCAGGATTCTTGCTTTGATGTGGGAGAAAAAACCACTTTTTAAATATCTTCGGACTTAATGTATTAATAAATTAATGAGACTTATCCTTCTCTTGTTAGTTTAGCAGTGTCAGTGAATAAATCAAGACGAAATAATTTCTTTACAAATAATTCGTCTGATAACTTATATTCATTTGCTCGGCCCGACACAGACATAGTTTTTTTATTCCTCTTTTCTTGAAATTTTTGCTATTCGTCCTTTAACTTAAAGGTATAGACAAAAGTTTTGAAATTTTGACTTTTTCCCTTACCTTTTGGGCAAAATTCTTCAATTTCTGGAATGCATATGTTGATAATTTTCAGTGCTAATTTATTTTTTCGGCAACCGACAGCAAGAAAACAGCTTTATGGAGCTTACGAGGCAAGTTATAATTCATTCGGAAAGGGATTCTGACGTTGAACTGACAATGAAAGAACTAGAACTTGAAGTAGAAGACCTGAGTCCTGCAAGAACTACAAAAAATAGCGAAGGAAAAGCTAAAAGACTTCGTCGAACATCGTCATTTATTGAGAGAAACAAAAGACAGTTTAAATTTCGAAGAAAATCTTCAAGGACTACCAGTACCGGTTCTCTTCTTATTACAGGAACATCTAGTCGGTTTCATACTATAAAGGAAAGGTTTCAAGAACGAGTTTTGGGAAAAAATTCATGCAAGCAAAATGAGAGTTATTCTACGAAAAGTAATCAAACTTGTGACAAAGGTGGCTCAAACAGGACGAATAAACCGAACTCTAAAGAACTTCACAAAAAAGGACAAAGCTCCAGAGAAGAACACACAGCATTAAACGAAAAAGAATATAACTTTTTACCAAATATTTCAAAACAGGCAGATTCCAGCGCTCAAGAACGAATCGAAAAGGATTTCAAATTGGGAACAAAAGAACGCGGACACTCAAGAAAAAAGAATTTGAAACCAACTGCTTCGTTTAAAACTTCTTTACCACCGATAGCGGAACATTATGAAATTTTACCTAGAACAGAAGAAAATAGACTTGTAGTCTATCGTACTCCAACACCGTTACCTGTTTTGAAGTAATTGGGAAGAAAAAGCGGGGAATCCAACAGTACAAAAAAGAAAAATTGTACCGCATAGGAAAGATGGTATTAACGAAAAAGTTGATAGTATAATTTTTATTCGCTGTTATAGTTTAGAATGTCGTAATGATGAAAATGTAAATATGGCTGAAATATGAAATTTATATAACGATTCAAAATTTATTTGACGATTTTAAAACTGATTGACCGATATTCATTAGCCTTCAAATAAAAACACTCGTAGAAGCACGGAATAAGCAATACGAAAAGTTACAATGTTAGGAATACACTATGATTGATGAAACAGCTTAGAGGTAGTCAGATAACTGATGATGACTGACAGAACGAACCTCGGAGGATAATCTCACGTCTCGACGCACTAATCCTATTGACCTTCGTTATTGTCTGAAACGGATAATTTATAGATAGTGTAGGACTGTTTAATTCTAGCTCTAGGACAGGTAGGATCGATGGTATTTAAACAGCTGTCCTTAATCTATTGCTCTGGATGAAATTGTATGAGAAGCCACTTCAATACATCCCCGTACGTTTCCCACTCATGAAAACCGCTTTATGGTTTTACATTTCGATGCAGTACCGTACGTTTCCGATCCCACTCATACGCGAAAACCGCTCTATGGGAAGCCATCCCAATGTTACGCAATGCCATACCGCGTACAAAAACCGAACTATGGGAAGCCATTTCAATGTTATGCAATGTTATACCGTGTACAAAAACCGCTCTATGCGAAGCCATTTCAATGTTATGCATGGCGTACTGCGGGTACTTTATGGGAAGCCTTTTCATCCCCATCGCCGCCATGTTACAGACGTGTTCAAGACATGACAAAACGTTTTGCATGCTCTAAGCTGCAGGTTTCGATTCTACTTCTGTAGAGTCACCTCTAGGCTGATTTAAAGTCAGGGCACGGCTAACTCACAGATCAAACCCTGAAACAACCTCTAGGCTGATCAAAGTCTGGGCATGGCCAACTCACAGATCAAACCCTGAAACAACCTCTGGGCTGATCAAAGTCAGGGCATGGTCAACTCACAGATCAACCCCTGAAACAACCTCTGGGCTGATCTAAGTCAGGACACGGCTAACTCACAGATTGTAACAACCTCTGGGCCGATCAAAGTCAGGGCACGGCTAACTCACAGATTTTTCACAGAACTCGGAATTTAGCGCGTTGGGTTTTGCGAATGGAGGAAAATCAGAGAATCTGGAGGAAAAGATCTTGCATCAAGAGAGAGACTTACCAAATGGAACCATAAACCCCAGAGGTAAGATGCGAGTATACTACCGCTACGTCAGCCTTGATTCCCAAAGAATTGCTATTACATTTCCAGCGATTTTCCTTTTGTATTTTTTAATAGCTATTTAGAATTTACATTATTAGGAAACGCTTATAAAGAAACATCAATAACATCTTTGCAAATAGAGGGGAAAAAATCTAATTTAGCTAGTCCAGTCCCAGATCTAATTTGCATGAGATCACGTGGAAATAGCTCAGCCTGCGTAATGGTACTAGAATGGTCTCCAGTTTCTCTCGGTTTCCGGTGTTAAACTATTAGTGCCGAGTCTCGCTCGAACACTAAAAAGCAAAGGTATCCAAGAGACCGTGAAGGACTGTCTGTCCTTCATGGTCTCTTGCAGGTAACCCAATAATTTCAAGGTACAATTAACTCCTCCCCCCTTCGAGATAAAGACTTGATACATTCGCTCATTGACTTCTTAGCAATCACTACGAACTCTTCGTACATCAACCGACCGTCGCCATCTTGGTCCAGCATTGCTATGAGCTCCTCTGCTTCGCTGGGGGTCAATCTTTCACCCATGGTAGTTAAGACATAACGTAGTTCGTCAGCTGATATGTACCCATCTCCATTACGATCGAAAACTCTGAAATATTACAAATATATATTATTAGAACAATTTTAGACTTGAATAGAGGCTTTGCACTATCACGTGACGGCAGCCATGACAGGAGGCAGGAACAACTGAATCTGGTCCAATCTGATCTACACGAGAAAGAATTCAGTTTCCCAGGGGAATACGAAAGACTCTTTTCGTTGTGCCTCCTGTCATGGCTGCCATCACGTGATGGTGGTAAGCCTTTACATAGAGTTTCGCCCGCTGTGATTGGTCGAGCGTTGACAGTGGGAGGCCTTGCCTTAAGAAATGGTCAATAAAAAAAGCTTGATCTTAAGAGGCCTCTTAACTAAGAAAGAAAGAGACGCACGAAAATGAATGCGCAAGAAACGCTCTCCTGTCAACCCAAGAATACTTCTATTATATTTCTTATTCTTAGTAATATTGAACCACGAGTGTTAAGCGTTCGTCAAAGTCGTTAAGAAAACTAAATATTGTATTCCTATGACCATTGATTGATAGAGCACTCAAAACATGTGACGAGTTCTAACGTCTAATATCTACTTTGTTGTCAATATTTGATGAAATCATTCTTATTGTTGGACAAAAAATATTGATGGAGAAAAAGTATTAAAGATCTGTAGATATCTTAAAATTAAAATCGAAAGAAAAATCGAAAGAAAACCCAGAAAAAGAGGATGTTATAAAGTTTTCATTCTAAGGCTATTATTTTCACTGGAACATTTCCCACTTGTGCGCATGCATGCTTGCTTTGTTGCTTGCTTGCTTGCTTGCTTGCTTTCTTTCGATCCTTCTTTCCTTCTTTATTTTTCTTTATTTCTTTCTTTCTTCCATTCTTCCA